TATATATATATATATATATATATATATATATATATAACAAATTCAAATTCCTATTTACCAAAATAGTTTTTTATTTTTTATTTTTTTTATTTTTATATTTTTTTTTGTTTTTTTAATCTATGGAAAGTCTACTCACAACAAATATTATACATGAAGAGTAGGTGTATATATTTCTTGATGAAACAAAAATTACAATGGGGAATTCGATCCAACGTTACAAGGGAAAGTCAATTATGACTACAAATTTCTTCAAAGATGGTCTTGCTGCATTCAAACTTATGAAATTAGAATTACCCTGAAAAGAATTTACTATAGTTTGATGAGTTTGGCTACTCGGTAAGTGATCATCATAGTCCTCAAAAATAATCATGGTTGGAAGATATCAACACATTCAAAAAAGGAGGTCTATTAAAAACAATAAGAGGAAGAGCACTTATATAGAACAATTTCACTTCTAGGAATACACAATTAAGTATAATCTAAAAGATTGAAATGCATAAAAACAATTTAATAGAAATGCATAACTCAAAGGATTTCACAAAATACCCTATTGGCGTCCCAAATAGGTCACCTATATACCCCACCAGCGTCCTAGATGGGTCCACATGTTCTTCCCTTCATTCTACACATTTGATCTCTCTCTCTCTCTCTCTCTCTCTTAAGTTTCTTCCTTATTCACCCAAAAAAAGTTTCTCTCTCTAAAATAGGCATGCCACCAGCTTAGGTTTCTAGGGTGGCACACCTAGTAAAAGAGGGAGAAAAAGAGGTATGTCCAACCCTAGGCTTAGGGTTTTGTGCCTTTTGTGACATGCCCTAGTTTTTTTTAGGGTTTAAAAATTCTATAAAGGTATCCTAGAGGAGCTTCCCAATTCAGATTTGGGAATTCAGTAGGATCCACAATTTAAATATGACATTGATTAGGTGATTGGGTGTTGGGTATGCTAAGCTCTAGAAATGTAAGTCTGGGTAAAAGCCAGTAAGTCATCCCTCATTTAGTTTTATTTGTTATTGTTTTTGTATTATTTTTGCCACCAAAAGTCTCAATATTGTATTCAATTGAATAAAGTTTATTTTGGCGGTAAGTTTATAAAGATCCTAGATTGTAGTAGGCTAAATTTACCGTATTTGTGGCACCTATAAGTAGAAATTCTAGCAATTAATAAAAATGCATAAATTTTTTTGAATTTATAATTTGGAATTCTACATAGTCACCTTTCATTCATATTAGAGCTAGTCTTCTTACTACCTTACTGTAGGGATTCTTTTATTTTTTTTTGAGTCAAGAACACGGCGGCAAAGACCTTTATGGTTGAACTTCTTAAAACCAAGAAGTTTCATGGGACGAACTATATTAGTTGGAAGAGAAAGTTAAACTATGTCCACTATGAAGGACTTAGTCAGATCCTCGCAGATTCTCCTTCACCGGTCCCAAGAGACAATGCTTATGAAAGATAATTCACTAGGATGCTTATGCTTAGTGGAGTGTAAAAACACCTTGACTAAGTATCTCCTTTTGATAGCTATGGATGATGCTCATGTACTGAAACATTGAACATTGCAAAGGAGATTCTAAGAGTTTCGAGGACAATGCTACCCCTTCTCTCACCGGAAAGACATTTGCAATGAAGCAATATTTATATTTGAAGATGAAGGAAGGAAGAAGTCCTAGCAACTCAACAATTCAAAGAACTAGTCCAAGAACTTGAAGCGGCACAAATAACGTTTGAAGAAAGTATGCAAGTATGTCACTTGCTCAATAGTTGCCCACTTCATAGGAAGCCTTTACCTCAACCCTTATTGCACAGGAGAGCACCGTGTAGCTGGATGCAATTATCACAAAGCTCAAAGCTTAAGAAGATTGAAGAATGGTGTGTGATCCTTCAGGTATTGGAGACTCTTGAATCTGGTAAATCTCCAACCCAACTCTGGCTCATTTAAGTAAAAGAAGAGCAAAGGGAAAAATACAAATAAGAGAGATGAGAATCAAAATGGGAAAATTGAGCTTAGAAATAGAACTTAAAGAACTCATAACTGCAACAAGTATAGGCACATAGCTAAGTATTGCAAGGCACCAAAGAATTCGAATTTCAGAGGGGGTAGGGAGCATGCTTTTCTTATTGTTGAGACCATGCTAACAGATCCTAAAGAGGGATCCTGGTATTTTGACTCAGTGTCTACTGCCCATGTATCTCACACCAAGGATAGTTTCAAAATTTTTAAACCGGTTATTCAAGGTACCATCATATCTTTATGAGTG